TAAGAAATCTTACAGGAATAACCAGGAAAAAAAGCCTAAGTATAAAAAGAACATAAGAATGATTGCAGCACTAAGTGAATTTGAGGAATATTAATGAGACAATAATCTTTTACAAGGGAAAAGCTGTAGAAAATTGGAACAAACATTGTAAGATCAAAGTAATGAAAGATACAAAATAAATAAGACTGAAACTCAACAGGCCTTTTCAAATATGTGAACATCTTCTTGGTATATGATGGAATTGTACAATGTGTATGCTTCCACCCCCAAGAAATTAACAGAGAAACAATTCTGTTAACTAAACAAAGATATAGAGCAGGCAACAGTACCTGCCCAACCTCATTTAGGCTCAGAAGCTAAGCACGGTTGGAAAACAGCCAAGGAATTCCAGACCTGTAGGCTACGATGGGAAATTGAAAAGCATCTTATGAGAAAACAGTTGCAAACCTCCTTTTATTCTTGCCAAGAAAAACTCATTTGTCCAGACAGTCATCAATAGACAAACTCATCTTGAGAGCATCTTCATTTTTAGTCTACATTGTTCCAAACAAGAATCCAAGATGAAAAATAAAACATGAGCTACTATTATCAGGCATGACAAGAGATTACATGAGAAAGATAAATAACAGCTGGAAAGTATCTGCATTTCCCAAGCAATTAAGAAATAATAATTATGCTACAACAACATATATTTAAAGCAAGTTTAGTGTAATGGTGAGTAATCAGGTTAAAACCAAGACCATGAACTGAGTTCTAGTTCTGTCTTAGGCATAAAGCCAGCTGGACCATTGCCTCTCTCTTCAGCTCCAGGAAATAGGCAATGCCAAACCATTTCTGACAAGCCTTGCCAAGAAACTGTAGGGACTTGTCCAGGTAATCGCCAGGAGTCAAAAATTCATTCAAAGACACACTTTCCCATAAGGTATTTAAGTATCTAAAGACTTAAGTTGGAAGATAGAATTGGATTGTATACAATGTTATACCTTCAATCAACTTCTGCTACTGCCACTGAGTTTGCAGAAAAAGTTGACGTGCATATCCCAAAGGAGATACTGAAGAAATCAAAATCAGGCTGAGAAAGTGATCAAGAAATCAAATCATTAATAGCCTAACAAAATCTTACAGTTGTCTTGTATAAAACTGAAAATGCCACAGGAATATGAACTAATATTCCAGAAACATACTGGGGTGGGGTGGGGGGGGGGGGCAGGAAGAAGGCAACATCAAAGAATCTCATTTAATAATCACAATTTTTTTTAGTCTTTGAAGCTTCTTATTAAAAGCAACACACCAGGTGGTAAGCAGACTAGTATTAAACAGGCAAGAAAAATATGAAGAAACAGAAATTTTTTAATAGCTAACAACTAGCACTACTTCACTGAAACTATAAAGTCAATTCATATATCCCAATAGGTCTATGGAGATTCTTAGTCATCCAGGTCATAGTTGACCCAAAGGTGCTTTTTCAAGAGGCAACTGGACTTTCTTGTTTTTCTTTGAAGATGTTTCACTTCTCACCCAAAAAGCTTCTTCAGCTCTAACTGGATGGTGGAGAATGGAAGGATTTATTCTTCTTGCAGACAGCTGGTCATTTGCATTCTTTTAGAGAGTTGTTGAGGCCACCTCCAGCTGTCAATGACCAGCTGTCTGCAAGGAGTATAAATCCTTCCCCACCATCCAGTCAGAACTGAAGAAGCTTCTTGGACGAGAAGCAAAACGTCTTCAAAGAAAAAACAAGGAAGTCCAGTTGCCTCTTCAAAAAGCATCTTTGGGATATACTAAGAAGCTTATTATGTATGATAAGTCCAATTGCACAGAGAATACAAAAATCAAATGAAGGACCAAAGAAACTGGCTTCAATTAGTCTTATACAATAGATTTGTGATTTTAGAATTATCTGATCAAGGTTTTTCAAGGGATTCATCTTTATACTTGAGTGGTATTTTTCAAATAAGAATAGCACAGAATTGGTATACTGCATCAATTAAATTTCAATTCCTGAAATATTAAAATGATATGCATATTAGTCTTATATATACTTTTACTTTTCAGACACTTGAGCATATAGTTTTATTTCAGTTTTGTTTTTTTACCTGAATCATACTGGGGTCTATAGAGTTCTTGGTGTCTGCAGTTATATAAGTGAAAATATGATAGCAAAAAATATGGCATTCCTCAATTATTTTTCAGTATAATTCACACCTTACCTAGATAGCAACAACTGAAAATCTATCTGCTCTTATTTTAGTCAAAAGGATGCAATCTTGGAAATAGAATGCTCTAATTAGCTTAAAAAAATAATAAAATATGCAAAAATAAAATATGCAAAAGCATACAGGTTCTAGGAGCAATGAACAAGCACTTCTAAGATCAAAGCATCTTTTACTACCAAACACAATAAAAACTGAATAGAAGACAAGGAATGTCCTACAGGATACACTTTCCACCAAATAGCCTAGGATTTCATCTGGAGAAACATCTGTATCTGTGTCTTTATCTATAGTTAAGTTGTCTTCTGAGAATAAATATGTAGCTTGAAACCAAAGATACGGAAGAATATTTGTAGCTCAAAATATATTGTCAAATATTCCTCAGGGCATATATCTCTTTGGGATCTTAAATACTTATATTCATTTTTAACTTTCTATTGGGTAAAGAATACCTTTCTTTTTAGTAAAACACAATTCTGTTTTAGATTAAAACAAACAAAATCATGTGCAAGATTATAAAGTTAATTTACCATAACAGGGCATCCACACAATCAATTCACTGCTAAAAAAAGACTTGTAAAATAATTGCTTAAAAGATTTATCTGAAACATCAGCAAATAAGAAGGAATCGAGTTATCCATTTCAGATAGATGAGTTTCCTTTGAATCTTCTTTTATATATTTTCTTATCAAATATTTACCTTGTGATCTTTTGTACAGACATATTTTTTATATACATTTCGTATCAAATATATACCTACATATTTCCCAAAAGCCAGCCTAAGATGGTTTAGGACAGCAATGCCCAAACTTTCCAGTTTAGCAGCCTGGCCCAATATGGGAGGGGGGCATGTGAGTGGTAAGTGCATGTACACGCACCCTCTACTTGTGCGAACGGAGTTTCATGTTTGAGCGGAGGGTGTTTGCGCTTGTGTGCGAAGCTCCATTCATGCAAGCAGAGGACACTTGAATGGTGGGTGCTCGTGCGTAAAGCTCCATTCACGCAAATGGAGCTTCACATGTGAGTGTCCTTCACTCACGTGAACTGAGCTTTGTGTGCGCACGCTTGCCCATCTCTCCTGTGGCCAGGTTTCAAACAGGCAACAGCCTGGGGATTGGGGACCCCTGGTTTAGGATACAACAATATGTATACTACTAAAACTCTCTTTCCTGTAACTTTCAAATGAGCAAAATGGTGCACCTTAGGGCAATTTTTTTTCAACCAAGGTACCTCAAAGAAGCTAACTTATAGAATGCTTAGCACATTGTAAGCCGCCCTGAGTCTCCGGAGAAGGGCGGCATATAAATCAAATTAGAAAAAAAAATGCATTGAAAATTTGGATTCCTCCAGGTATGGTATAATCCAGAGGTGAAATACTCTGAAGTCTGCTACTGGTTTGCTTCACGCATGTATGCACGCCAAACATGCGCTTTGCGCACAGGCGCACTGCAGGCACTACCACACAGCGCTGAAAAAGGAGGATTAAGAAGCCTTTTCTGAGTCTGCAAAGGTAAGTAGAACGGGGGGGGGGGGGACAGCCGTGCCACGTGATTTAGATTTGCTAGAAAGCAGGATGAGGGGGAAAAATAGTTCCAGGTTTGCTTACTGTTTTGAACTACATTCCCCTCTAAACCACTCTATGAAAAGTCAGCACCTAGACCACCCTCTTCAGCACTTCTGCTCCACAACTCCTTTTCATGGCATCCCAGCTTTCCTGCTGTTCTGTTCACTTGTCCAACTTTTCTTCTCTCTTTCAGGGGTTGGAAACTGCTTGAGGTCATTTCACACCATTTGTTCTGTGTTCAGAACTTCCTAGTTCTGATATCTTCTTCTGCTCCATTTTATTCTTTCTTTCAGCATCTTCAATCATCCTGCTTTCTTGGTAGACAATATTCTCTAGCATATCAAGAAAGCAGCCCCCATCCCCATCTCAATCTGCCTGCCAAACCTGCCCCCTTTTAAGCCCTGCACAAAGAGGACATAAATATCACCCACAAATGTTCTAGTGCAGCTAGGATATCTCCAGATATCCTGGTATGCTTGTGGCAGCAGGCAAAAGAAAAACAAAATTTAACTTTCAAACTCTGAAGAATTCCTGAAATAATTTCAGCCATTGCAGGTCCTCTGTCTTGATTTGCCATCAAAATATCTGATCTGCTGTGGTCACCCAATTACAGTTACTCATATTCAGATCCTTTCATCTTTCTGACTTGATTCTGAGAAGATGAATGGAATCCTTGGCAACACTTATATAAAGAATAAAGAGAGTAGGGTGCTTCCTATTAAATTAGCTTATCACTAAGTAGATGATCAATTCACTGTAACTTTAATAGTAAATTATTTCTCCTGGAGATTTTCTATACTCAATATGCAAATATTCAAATTTAAATTACACAGGTGATGCATCACTTTTGCAATATTGCATGTCAATGCTAACTCTCACAGACCACATAGACAAATTTTATCCATGCCAATCCATCTCTAACCCAGTGCTTTTTGGCTTTTTAAGCTTTTTTCAAGAAGTTTATGTAGTGTTATGTATATATATACACGCATATATACATACATTCAATGATTTTATATATATCCCTACACTGGCAGGAAACATTTTCAATCCCCAATACATTCTGTATCTTTTCATTAAAAGAAGTATTTTTCTTCTTCACTAGATTCTTTAAACAGAAAGAAGTTAATATTTGTATAATCTTGAGTAAGGATAATTGAGTAAGGATAACTGAGTTATTATAACTCAGTGTTCAGCATGCCACAGACTTTAATCTATTACATTACCTCATTAGCTGTGTTGTGAGTGCCAACAATTCTGATAAAAGATGCTGGTTGTCTATCAAAATTTACAAGTTGCCAAGATCTGCACAAGAAAGAAAAGGGATACAGAAAATTAAAACAACTGCACATTTGTTTTTGTTTTTTAATAAAATGTAAAAAAAAATTCTATAGTGATCCAACATATTCTTGCATTAGTACGCACACTTATTTTTATCTGTTCAATGCTAGCATTACCTTTCTGGGGGAAACAAACAGCTATATAATAAATAAAAGCAGAAAAGTAAATCATCTCAAGTCAGAAGTATAGAACACAAAATTCAAAAGAGCAATGCATCTGTACTCAGGTAAGTGTATATTAGTGTACTGTATTTTTGGAAAATAAAATATGAGAACAATGTAAAAGAAATACTGAAACATTTAAGCAAAACTAAATCACTTCAAGCATATGGCATTCGTCTTCATCTAATGTCAGGTTTCACAAGTGGAAGCAACTGAAATGCTGGCAGTTGCCACATTCTGTTGGCAAAATAAAGGAATAACTAAATGAAAGAAGAACAAGAATTTCTATGGTTCTAATAACTGCTCAGAAGAGGTAGGAAGTAAAAATTTTCTTATCCCACATAAAAGTGCCTTTTCTTTTAACTGCTATAAATGGAAGAAATCAGATTTCTTCAACTGAACCTAGTTATTCTGGAGATAAATATGGATCAATAATTAGCAGGATCTATGTTATGTAGTACTAAAAAAGCACCTGGCTTTTGAAAACCTAAAGTTTCAAACAGGAATGATAATTATGGCAAAAAGGTAGGGTTACCTTATTCCTCTGGGGCTCAAAGCTAGGACTTTCTAGATTCCTCTTCTTCTGCTATTTTAGGAAAGAACTGTGTTTTTTCTTACAATTCTAAATTACAATTCTAAATTACAATACTGCGTGTTTTCCACACCAAACTACAACTGGGTTTGTGTATCACATTAAATCGAAACCAACGGTGTTTACTGTTTAGCATAATATGTGAATTTTATTAGCAAAAAGAATATAATTACTCATATTGAAGGAATCAGCAACGTGGAACTTGCAGTACCTCAAGGACCTAACATAATGATTTTTAAATTGTTGCAGTCTAACACGATGTTATTTTCTTTTATGGTGCTGGAAAAGGTTCATGACCATGCCTTTACCCAAATAATTTTTGGCACCTCTTTCTTCTCTCCAAGAAGGAAAGAGAAAGAAGATTTGAATATTTCCTTATAAACAGTAGACACATTGGATTAATATATAATCGGATTATCTTTTCTCCTGAAATCAATTTGAAGATAAAATTACAAACTTTATGCATAATAGAGTCTAATATAATCAAAGAAATGATAATAAGACAGTTAAAGCAATTTGATGAACTTTTGAAGGAGGTTATCATTTGGATAGCATTGCATTCAAAAGATACTTATATACTACTAAAAAGCAAAAGGAAAGAAAAGAAAAACACTGAAAGAACTGCAATGCTGTTGGTTACATATATAGCCAAGATTTAAGGTGGAATATTGTACAGTATAGCAAAAAACTATAAGAAAGAGTTGATCTGATCTAGGCAAACTTTTTATGACATTTTCACATACTTATTCTTTTAATTCCATTGGGCTTCAGAACTATAGTGAAGCAGAAAATAATTCCACTTTTATAAATTCCGGACATCAACATCACCAGGGAGAAATTTAATCTATCTATATAAAAGCGAAAACCACTGACGCATTAATCACGAAATTTCCAGAACCGTAAAGCCTACAAACTTGAAATTTGCCACGTATGTTCCTCTTGGCTTCTAGGTGCTCACTAAGAAAGGATTTTTCGAAATGACCATCAGAGCATTAGTATTTCCTAAATTGTTATAACAGGCTCTGATACTAATTAGTTAGATGTTCTACTCCCCTTCCCAACTTGAAAATAACTCTGGAGAGAATGGAATAGCATAGGACAGGCTTATGTGAGGCAAGCCTCATGAGAGAAGAGGCTAGAAAGCCTGAGGGAGAGAAGGGGATAGGATAGGAGACGTTTCTGTGGGGCAAGGCTGAGGGAGAGGAGGGGAGAGGAGAGGCTTCTATGGGGCAAGTCTGAGGGAGTCTTGCCCCATAGCAATTTTTGTGGGCTTGATAAATCGACATTTAGAGTTTGAAAATTAATGAGTAGTTATGATTGGAGAGGATCTATGGGGCCCGTCTGAGGGAAAGAAGGGGATAGGAGAGGATCTATGGGGCCCGTCTGAGGGAGAGAAGGGGAGAGGAGAGGATTCTATGGGGCCCGTCTGAGGGAGAGAAGGGGAGAGGAGAGGATCTATTGGGCCCATCTGAGGGAGAGAAGGGGAGAGGAGAGGATCTATGGGGCAAGCCTAAGGGAGAGGAGAGGAGAGGAGAGGAGAGGAGAGGAGAGGAGAGGAGAGGCTTCTGTGGGGCCAGCCTGAGGAAGAGAATGGGAAAGGAGAGGATCTATGGGGCAAGCCTGAGGGAGAGAAGGGAAGAGGAGAGGCCAATCATAACTACTCATTAATTTTCAAACTCTAAATGTCGATTTATCAAGCCCACAAAAATTGCTCTCCTCTATGCAAAATCACATGAATACAGTCCAGCAACAGGTGTACTTTATAATGCCTTTCTATATTAGTTCTAACATAACTTTGATAGTGTTGGTTTATTAAGGCAAAATTTTAGCAGATTTGCTAGAAAAGCATCTAGCTGGATAGAAAAGGCTTAGGCACATTGGATGCTGTTGTACACAGAGCAAACATGTAAATTAGTTATGTCACACTGATTTCCATACATCTACTCTAATATATGACTAAATTAATTTCAATTTCCTGAATATTTCTAGGGCCCTTAAATTGATTCCTGGTGAGTGTGCCTGGTCTTCTACTTGCAGTTTTCTTGGGAAGCTTTTCAGAAATGGCTTGCCATTGCTTACATCGTAGAGGTGAGAAAGTGACTGACCCAAGGTCACTCACCTGGCTAAAACGGGACTAGAACTCATAATCTCTCTGTTTCTAGCCTGATGTCCAGATGTGTTACCAAACTGACTTGCATTATCATTTTTTTAATTTTTGGTGCTTGTTTTTCTTGGGATAGGAAACTACAAAATCAGCTATAGTTAGAGCCCAATTTAAAAAAAATAGCTTTTTGATACTCCACTTACTACAAAACTACTTCTAGTTGAAATCTGTGATTAAAAAAAAAAAAAAAAAAAAAAAAGGGAGGGGGGAATTTATGTAGACATTTGTAGAAAAGAACATAATTATGCCCTTTTACAAGCATATAATATTTTAAAGATTAAAGAGAAGATAAAGTCTCTTAGCATATACTGGAACTTCTAGTATATTATTTACCTAATACTAGAATACAGTAGAACAGAATCAATTTGCACAAGAAAACGGCATATACAGACATTGGCATTATGCCCATCTAATTGGATACCACAAGAATTATGGCTCCTAAAATGCCAAAGTGCAAAGATGTACTTCTCTTTTTTTAAAAAACAAACAAACAAACTTTATTCGTTTTTAAAAAAAGACATTTAAAACAATTATAAGAAAAACTGAACAAGTTTTTCTTAATCAAACACACAAATTACAAGTACATATACTATACATATATAGTGCTCAACTTCATCTATCAACTACTTTCTAATGTTATATATACATATATATATATATATATACGCACAGTGACTTATTTCCTTCTATATCTCTCTGACAGTGCAGTTGTTTATTTGCATTAATTTCTCCTCACTTTCATCTCTAAGCATTCCCTCTCTCTGATTTATCCACTGGTACCAGCTATTCCATATTTTAAAGTATTTTGAATCTTCCTTGTCCTGTAATTTTAGGGTTAATTTGTCCATCTCTGCGCATACATAGATTTTCTGTATTACTTCCTGATCAGTTGGCAAACGGTCTATTTTCCAGAGTTGTGCCAACGCTAATCTTGCCGCTGTTATAATGTGGAGTATTAGGTATTTTATGTCCTTCCTAATATTCTTATTGATCATGCCGAGTAAAAAGACTTCAGGTGTTAATTCAATTTCGTGATTTGTTATCTCTAATATCCATGTTTTTATTTTGTTCCAATATTTTTTGATTTTTGGGCAAAGCCACCAAGCATGATAAAAAGTTCCCTGCGCTTTTTTACATTTCCAGCAAGCCGGGTTCACATTTGGATACATTTTTGCTAACCTTGCGGGTGGCAGATACCATCGGTATCACATTTTATAATGATTTTCTTTGTATGATACCGATTTTGTCATTCTATAATTATCTTCCCATGCTCTTTCCCAATCTTCTAATTGTATATTATGCCCTATGTTCCTCGCCCAGGCTATCATCTGCCCTTTGACCAACTCTTCTGCCAAATCAAATTCGAGTAAATATTTGTAGATTTTTGAAATTAATTTCCCTTCTTTTGATTCTAATAGTTTGTCTAATCGATTTTGTTTTAAATCTATTCCTTCTTCCTCTTGGTCTTTTCTGTATCTTACTTTTATTTGCGAGTAGGGCCACCAGTCTATTCCTATTCCTTGTTCTTTGAGCTCTTCCCTAGTTTTCAATTTCCCCTGAACATCTACTATTTCCCTGTATCTTAGAATCTTTTGTTTTGATATGTTGGGGTGAGTTATTGCTTCTATAGTAGATAGCCAGCCGGGAATTTTCATGTAGTGTTTTTGTTTAATTTGTAGCCATGTGTTAATTAAAGATCTCCTAATTGTATGGTTATTAAAATGTTTATATATTTTATTTCCTGAACTCCATATAAAGGCGTGCCATCCCTTCATTAAATCATGCCCTTCTAAATTTAGCAATCTTTGATTATCTAAGGTTATCCAATCTTTAATCCATAATAAACTGGCAGCCTTGTAATATTTATCCCATGCCGGGAGTCCAAATCCACCTCTACTTTTATCATCTTGTAGTATATTCAATTTTATTCTTGATTTCTTCCCTTCCCACACGAATTTTTTAGTTATTTTATCCAAATTATCAAAGAATTTCTTATCTAATTTTATTGGAATTGTTTGGAATAAATAAAAGAGTCTTGGCAGTATGT